ATATAATTCAGAGATAATACATTGGTCATTCTCCTAGAGCATACTGATTTATAAAGAATAGGATATGGCAGATAGTGCTTCAAATGTTTCTCAGATATCTCTGACAGGATGCCCAATATTCAGTGGTCATGAAACATTCTCCATGGTTAACTTTAACTAATAGATTAATATTAAAATCTATTACTAATATTACTGCCTATTGCACTTTACTGTCAGTTTGTCATACTGTAGTGACTTCCATGTTGCTATGATGCTGGAAGCTATGTCACCAGTATTTCAAATACCAGCAGGGTTACCCTGGTTGACAGGTGTCTTGGGCTGGGTTCTTTAGAGAAGCAAAACCAGTAAAGTGTATAAATATATATATAGAGAGATTATATCAAGGAAACAGCTCACGCGATTGTAGAGGCTAGAACGTCCCAAGTCCGTCGATCAGGGTAGAGGCCTCTCCCAAGTCACACAGCTGCAGAAGCTGGCAAGCCCAAGATCGGAAGGTCGGAGAGCAGGGCTCCCACTTACGGGCCGTGCAGATCGACAAATCCCAGGTTCAGCAGTGACAGCTCAAGTCCCAAGAATGGGAGATGAGATGACAGGAAGCAGCTGCAGGATCCAGAGAGAGCAAAAAGCCAAATGTCTGCTTATATACAGATGCGGGCCACACCCCCAAGGAGACTCCCTTTCATCTTACTGGCTACTTACAGTACATTCAATCATGGGAGTGATTACATTAAAACACGGAGAATCGTGGCCCAGCCAAGTTGACACACAATCTTAACCATCACAACAGGTTTCAACGGAGCTTCCAGACTAAGAAAGACTAACAAGAAAGGCCTGGTAATCTATTTCCAAAAATTAAAACCTTATGGATCACAGCAGAATATTGTCCAGCTTACTTGTTTTGGACACATCATCAGGAGGGATCAATCACTAGAGGAAGACATCATGTTTGATGAAGAAGAGGATCATCGAGGGTGAGGGAGACCCTAGGGGAGATTCATTGGCACAATAGCTGCAACAGTGGACTCGAACATGCCAGTGATCGTAACACAGACCTGGGCAATATTTTGTTCTGCTGTACACAAGGTTGCCATGACTTGGAGTCAACTAAATGGCAGCTATCTTATCTATCAATTTACAGATAAACAAAACCCATTGCTGTTGAGTCGATTACGACTCATAGCTACCTTATAGGACACAGTAGAACTGCCTTATAGGGTTTCGAACTGCCAACCTTTTGGCTAGCTGCCCAGCTCTTAACCACTGCACCACCAGGGCTCCAATCTACAGATAGTATAGTAAAATTATGCCATAAAACTATGCGATCATATATTCAATTACATAAAATGTAAGGTTGCATTATTACCAAGGTTAATGAAATGACCACAGTGAGCCTGCAGTTGTGGGGGACTGGGGAACCAATTGCCAGTTGCATTATATCTCAATTCACATTAATCTGGGGCCCATTATCATGAACCTTTTCTCTGTATTTCAACCACCAGAATCAGTCCTGCATATGTGGCAATAAAAGCTTATTCTAAGTTAATGACAGTAAAAATGGAAAGTAAGGGACAGATAACAGACATCTCAAAGGACAAATTCATAGGACTTGGGCTGATCGGTTATGGAAGACAAGAGTAAGTGATAAATCCAAGACACACCACTGGGTCACCTGAAGAATGAAGATAGTGATAAATGGAAAAGGCAGGGGTAGAGTAGTATCAACCCAATACTTAGATTGGTAGAGGGTAGGGAAAGGGGTATAGTTTAAGTTATGCTGATTTCAAGATGACAACAGACCACTTAGGAAGAAATCCTGAATAGGCATTTAGACAAGGACTTGAGTTTAAGGTCAGGCATTTGCTGTCATGATAACTATGGACAAAACTCTGAAGAGTTATCAGTCTAAGAATGCTTTCAGAACTGAATATGACGAGTAAGAATCATCAGAAAAAGAATTAGAGATAGAAGAACCACATTAATACAAAGGCATTTCAAGTTTACAGTATCTTTTCACATACATGTATCCCTTACATTGTATCACATACATTGGAACCCTTGGGAGGTGGGAGATTAGTTTCAAGATTTATTCATTCACAAATACTTATTACGTGCTGCTGGGAATACAGGGAATAAGTCACAGTCCTTGCCCTTAACGAGTTTCCAATCCAATGTGAGAAAGACAGAGAATAAGCAATTACAGGCCCCCATGACAGCTCCAACTACACTGCTTTATAATTAGATATTTACTTACCAGTCTCCATTACAGAAAAATTGTATGAAGTTAAGGGACGGGGTCTATCACGTTTATATCTTCAATGCCTAACAAAAGATCTAGCACATAGGCACTCAGGAAGTATTCTAAATGAACTTATGGGGAGGGTAAAGTGACATAATCAGATTTGTGTTTTGCAAAGACAACTTTGGTTGGTGGTGTGAAAGATGGATTGGTGTGGGGAGAGATGACAGAAAGGAAACTACTTACTGTTATTACAATAAACCAGTACTTTCCAAACTCTTAGGTGCATATAGGGTTAATGGGAGGCAATGTGATACAGAAGAGCCAAGAGCTTAGACCTGGATTTGAGATCCTGGCTGTTTAGTAAATATTTGAAGAAAAAAAAAAAAAAAGAAATATCTGGTACCTAATACTACTTGATAAGTGTACATTTCCTTCCTCAGTACATTGATTAAACAAGAGAAATGGATAAATCTTCAGGATACAAAGCAGGGGATGGAACAAGACCCACATGAGGCAGAAGGAGAGGGAATCAAGAACATGTGTGTTTGGCCTAGACCATGTGAACAAACTTTTCTTCTGAGATAAAAGGCAGACTATTTAAAGATAGAACTAAAGAAGTAGAGGCGAGGGACGTTAGGAGAGTTTACAGTTGATGGGAGACAAAGTGGAGAAGCAGTGGACTTTTAACGGATAAATTTGAAATCTCTACCAGAAAAGGAAGATTAGATACCAAGTAAAATAGTTACTGAGGCTGTAATACATTAACTTGTAGTGGTCACAAGAGTAAATCTGAAAATTTTCTCCAGGAGCACTCAGCAACATGGCAGGAGCAAAGAATGTGGACAGTTTGATTCATCCAGGACTGGTAACTGGCAGGAGAGGGGCCTTAGGAAAGGAGGAAAAGTGACAAAGACTGCTCTTGAAAGTCTCCCTTAAGTGAATGACAATAGGATATACATTAGGTAGGGAAGAAGTCAAGTCAGGAAGAGGCTGACAGAGTGGAACAGAAGAAGAAGAGCTGAGGAATATAAGGTCTTGATTCATGGCAACATAACTAGTCTTCATTCTTTTGGTTTTGACCAACTAATAAAATCAATTTGTTTTTTGAAGCTACATAGACTATAAAATATAAAAATAAATGTCTTCTTAAAATTGATTACATGTCTTCTAATTGACAAAATTCAGTTCTTAACTTCGGTTACACATGATTTTCCTCTATGCAGGAGAAAAATGACAGTAGTTTAAACCCAAGTAGGTGGACTAATTCATTCTATTGGATTTAAACTACAATCAGTTTTTTTTTCCTTCTGTACATAGATCAAGTGAAAAGAATGGATTTTTGATTATTCAATAGATAAAATACTCTTTTTAAGTCAATTCAATGCCAAGCATTTGTCACTGACAAAGATAAAAACGAGAAAAGAATCATGAATAGCACCAGGCCAAAATTAATTAGATAAGGAATACACCTACTTAAGCCATCTTTATACCCATAAAACCAAAAACCCATTGCTGTTGAGTCAATTCTGACTGATAAGAGTCCCTATAGGACACAGTAGAATTGCTCCATAGGGTTTCAAAGGCTGTAAATCTTTAGGGAAGCAGTCTGCCACATCCTTCTCTTGTGGAGCAGCTGATGGGTTCAAACTAACGACTTTTCTTTTTGGTTAGCAGCTGAGTGCTTAACCATCATGCCACCAGGGCTTCTTAGTAATCTTTATACTTAAAGGTAAATATTTTAATTTCTGCCTATAATGTCAGCATTAGATTTTTTTTTTAAACAATCTTTTTTTTTTTTTTAAGTTATGGGTTCATAAACATGAACTTCAAATTTCCACACTGTGGCAAAATACCCATGATATTTAGAAGAGGTATCATCACTGTTACAATAGAAGATTCAAATTATTTTAAAAGTTAGTACAGGCAGCAGCTAACTTTACAAAAGATTTAGGTTGAATGCTTCCTGAAAATTTTCTTATATAAGTATATGGTGATTAGATCCTAGATAAACATTATTATAGAGCCAATCAAGCAAATACAGTATTTCTAAGGGAACACAAACTTTCCTTTTGGAATGTTACCAATACTTCTAACACAGGGATGAGGGACTCTTTTTTTTAATTATAAAACAATTTTTTTTCCCCACCACTTCAGCCACAGAATAGCTCGAATGGTTTGGGGCTGAACATTATACAAAAGGGGTAGTGGAGTCAAGGTTAGGTACTATAGAGCTAAACAGTTCCTTTCAGTCAGGCACTACTAGCTCTCATGTTAACACTTTTTCTTTCCTTTAAGCATAGAGATTAAAGATGCCTGCTTCCCTTTTCATTTAACCACCTATTGCCTTCAAGGTGGTAGTGATGTGGAAGGGAAGGAAAAGGGCATTTCCCCCTGCTTTTGTATGTGAGGTAAGCAAATAGCCCTTTTATGATTTTCACTACCAATGATGGGGAAATATAAGAGGTTGTAGAAGCTCCCTCCTAAGATATCTTTCCATACACCTTTTATCTTCTTCTCAATGGAAAGACAATGCCATAACCAGGTACCAATCAGTTTTAGGGCACACAAATAAGTTACATTAGAAGAAAAAAAAAAAGGATTTGGGCTGTTGTTCAGGTGCTGTCGAGTCTATTTTCGACTCATACTGACCCCATGTGACAAAGTAGAATTGCCCATAGGGTGTTTTGGCTGTAATCTTTATAGGAGCAGATTGCCAGGTCTTTCTTCCATGGAGCTGCTGGGTGGGTTCCAACCTCCAACCTTTCAGTTAGCAGCTGAATGCTGAACTGTTGCACCACCAGGTCTCCTTGGACTTGGGCAAATATGTGAATATCACTAAGTGTAGACTCCCTAGTTAAACCATGTAATTTGTGGGGTGGAGAGACAGGAAAAAAAGGTAGGGGGCAAGAAAAAGGACCAGAGTGGTTACTGCTTACCACTGACAGCCCTTTCATGGAGGACTTTAGTAAGGGAGTTTCCAGGGAGGAGACTGAGAAATTCTAAGCAACAGCGGTTCCTGTGGTCTCTAGGCCAGCTAGCTACAGAAACAGGTCCAAAGCAGTCACTGGCTTGGAACTGGGGTAGATGAACTGGGAACTGCCCATATAGTACCATTAAGAAGCATATGGATAAAAATTTCTAGAAGCTGAACTCTTCTTTATTGACAGAACCAATACAACATTCATGGTGGTAGGGCAGAGTAGGTCATGATGTCCCATTGCAGCACATTCTGACATCCAAATTAGACCTATTTAAATGTGGTTCCTTTCCATTCCTTCAACTTTATACTATGGTAATTAACTGTACAGAGGGGTTCTAAATTGAAACAACTTGATTCACATCACCCCTATTCACTCAGTTTTTGAAGACTAACCATCGGGGCCGAATATTTTATGAGGTGCTAAGCTAAAAGAAAAAAATATATATAACTAAAATACGTGATCAGGCCCAATCAAAATGGCTTAATATTATTCATTTTCTTTGAACATCTTACTTAAGTGCTCTACTAGTGCTATTAGCTCAGGGTTCCCACCACATGCGTCAATTTGTTTATAGGCTTTAGATTCAAGCTCTTTAAGAGTATTCCGAGTGTATTCAAAAGAACCTACATTCTCAAGATAATGTACACAGTATTTTTTAATATCTACGTTTTCGGTTCTCTGGCGCAAGATATTCTGCACCTGGGTGCTTTCAGGCCTCGACCAAATAGCATGAATAGTAGGGAATGAGAACTTTCCCTCTGTTAGATCTTCACAAAAGCTTTTGTTTTCGCTATATTCTGTGGAGTGTAGATTAGCATAATCATCCCTAATTTGGAAAAAGAGCCCAAGTGTATTAAGTAGTGGCTTTAAATCTTCCTTGTAATCAGAAAACAACTGCATGAGACCTACTGCTAATCCAAATAGTCCACCCGTCTTTTGCAGCACCATAGCTTTATATTCTTCTTCAGTGGGACAAATGTAATTATCCCTCCAGTATATATCTAGGCCTTGTCCTTGATGGAGTTCCAAAAGCTGACGGGTAAAAAGCTTCACTGCATCTGGGTGATCAAGGGTCAGGACTTTTTCTAAACCAAGGAAATAGACATAATTAGCAGAATTGATGACAGATGGAATTCCATAGATGCTGTGTGCCACTGGAAAACCACGTCGAAGTTTTGAGTTGTCTTCAATATCATCAATGAGTAAACTGGCATTATGCAACATTTCCGTCACTTCAATGATAATCTAACAAAAAAGACAATTGAAAATTTGTCTTTAACTATTCAAAACAGCTTATACTTAATTATATTAATAGAGTATGAAAGTTTCAGGTGTCTTAAATTTTTACATTTAATGATTACTTAGCAACCTCAATATAAAATAATATTTTGCATGAGCATTAAACTGAGTCAAGAGCTAAGAACATTTTTACATTTCATCTATTAATTTCCTGGGGATTAAGAATAAGATTAGATTAGATAAGAATAAGCTAAATACCTGTAGCTTGTCTTCTGGAACTTTCAGCCAATGATTAAAAGCTTGTGAAAGTTTGGTTCTCACTTGTTTACCTGCAATTAAAGAATAAAATTTGGTAATAAAATTAATATTTTAATTCTAAGAAACACATTTAGAGATTTCCTCCCGAATTGATCAAACTTGTTAAACCTAGCCCCATCAATCCCAAGCACAGCTCATCTTTCCTTGCTCACCCTCTACACCCCTGAAATTCACACCCTAAAAAGCACGAAGTTTTAAAATTAGGGCAAGCAAGAGATTCTGAAACACTTCAGCGGCCTACTAACCCACTCCCTTCATCTTACTGTGGATCATAAAAACAATAATTTTGGCACTGGAATGATTAGGAATTAGTCTAACTTATTCCTTTTTTTTTTGAGAAGGAAGGCAGCTTAGTTAGTGGCAGTTAATTAGCACTGCCTATTTTGCTTAGAATTGTTGCAACTTGATCAGCAAGCAGAGAACTGTAGGTTTTTTTTAATGATATGTACTTTGGTATTGAATTACTACCTTGTAAAATGACCTCTTAAATTATTCCTTTTAATTAAGCTTTTAGAGACTGAACAGCTCTGCTTCTTTCCTATAAAAAAAAAAAAAAATGAGATTACCATGCCCTGAAGTAGTCCCTTTTAACATCCTGAGTTTAGTACAAAGCTAATCTCTTTATTGTGACTATGGCCATTAGTTTTATTTCTTCTTACATGGAAAGCTCAAGAGAGGTCTTTACCACCAGAAGTCGTTTTAGCCCAAATACAAAGGAATGGTAGATTAAAAACCACAACCAGTTCATTTAGTAAAAATGTATGAGTTTCCTGCTAAAGTGAATGCACAGTAACATCCTAATTTCAGATTAGGTTTCAAGAAAGTGATTACATAAAAAGTTAAATTTCAGTAAACAAAAACACCATTTCCTTTTTCTGTCTTTCATGTTGTAAGGTATATTTTTATTTACAAGTGAGATGATGTATCAGTGAATAGTGACTGTAGTTTAGAAACCCAATGAAGATACTGCAAGAAAATTACTTTAATGCTGGAATTTTCTTGCATCATGATATTAAAATTCTTATGTAAATGTACTCTATTTTCTTAAAAAGTAGAAGAAATAACATGAAAATATATTAAAACAAACTACAGTGGGGCTTAGTTCTTCTGGGAAAAACACTATTTTCTAAGTCCTATCTATGTCCTCCCTGCACTAATCACCCAAACAAACACCTAAGTACACTAACAAACTCTTATCACTTATCAAAATGGAACAAAGTCTCACTTGCTGTGAGAAGTGTAGAAGGGAAGGCATCTCTCAGGGTTCTGGAAACAATATCTTCTGCCTACTAAACCTTAAGGTGCACCATGGTCTGGGTAGCAATTATATACTTTATACTTCTCATCTACTTTTCAGTTTAACAAGGGTCAATCTGGGCTATACTCAGAATGCACAACTCTGTAAAGTAATCCATATCATTTTAAAAAATAGGTTTAGAAGATGAAGAACACAAAGACTCAGTGTGGAACCAAATTTTTCTTGTTTTACTTTGGAATGGTATATAGAAAACCTGGCTTTTTCTTAAACAGTACAATAAATAGTTTATTTTTCAGGTATTGGAGTTTTGTTTTATTTTTATTCTCTGATCTGATTCTAGGATCTGGCCTAATACTTTCAAGTCCCCAAATTACTTCTACCTCAGGGCACTAAATCTAGTCACAGAGACCCTTCAAAATTAAAAAAAGAAAATTACTGCTTCCTCCTTAAGACCTTACCATTACTCCCCTTCTACAGCCTCTTCTTTCCCCAACCCCACTCTCCACACCCCATTACGAAAATCTGGGGACCTACTCGTACCAAAACCCATTGCCGTCCAGTTGATTCGACTCATAGCGACCCTACAGGACAGAGTAGAACTGCCCCATAGGGTTTCTAAGGAGCGGCTGGTGGATTAGAACTGCTGACCTTTTGGTTAGCAGCTGAGCTCTTAACCACTGTCACCAGGGCTCCTTTGGGAACCTACATTATGGCAAATAACAAACGTAAAAGTCATTCTACTTCACTAATTTCAAAAAAATCCTATTATCAATATTATCATCATCTTTTATTAGCAAGAGTAACTTTACACAGTACAAATGGTCTGGCCTACCTTTGAGTCACTTCGGTAGCTCTGAAGAGCTCTGTGAAAAATAGGTTTGTTATGCTTAATACAATATCCTATTTCTTTAGGAAAATCTTTTGAGATTATATTTTATCATAGATGCAACAGTATAATTAATATAAAAAAAAGTGAGGTAACCAGTTTTAAATGTGTTATCTAATGGCATAAAATAGTACTCCCAGTTTTTTTTTTTAGTGTTACAGAAGAAGTTCATTACATAGGTAAGCATTATGGTTAAAATGTAACTCCCAGCAGTCCTTGCTTTGCATGGCAGTGGAGTGGTAGACACTCTTTAGATTCTTGTCAGCACTGATAACTAGCATGTTTTATTGCAGCATAGTTCCAGTCAGTGTGTGCCAACTTGTTACAAAAGAAGTCCAGCAATAGGTGGGTAGAGTGCAGGATAAATAGTGCCATATTTCTCAGTGGGACACCCTGAAATAAGAGAAGTTACTAGCTGCTGAAAAAATTTCACTCAAAAGCAGTCTCTTGGCTTTTTCTTAAACAGCGGGCAACCTTCCCTTTGAATTCTCCATCTGTCTTCCCTCCATTCTTTTGAAGCACTGACATTAGCAGATGAGTCTCCATTAGGGTCTGCCAGAATAGAAATGACACCAGTCATGACGGTTTCCAAGGTGTAGATAGGGAGCTAGCATGCTCTGGCTTTTCATAGCCCTATTTATCTTCCCTGGGCTCATGGAGAATAGAAATGAACAGATTACCACTGAGGTGTGCTCACAGAGAGGGGGTGTGCTTTAGAAGGGGGAAAAAATGTCTATTGTGATTGAATTGAGAGCATCATCAGACTATAGTTTAGCTATATTTATGGGCTAAATAGGCTTTTGTGTTCTAGTCAAAGAATTTACCACCTTTTATGTTATTTTTATGAGAAAGAGCGTTCCAAGTTCCAAGTAACTCATTTATAAGTGAATTTTTATTACGAGAACCCATACTTTTAAGACCAATAAAGTTTCAAAAAACAGCAAAACGAAACAAAACCACCACACATACACACACACACACATACACACACACAATTAGGCAGGTGGTGCTATAGGAAACTACGTCCAGTGACACATCCGTATATAAGAATACTGTGGGCCATGCTTCCAAAGGAGTCTCTGAGTGGTAGACATAGTTAAGCACTTGACTAGTAGCCAAAAGGTTGGTGGTTGGAATCCACCCAGAGATGCCTCTGGAGACAGGCCTGGTTATCTGCTTCCAAAAGGTCACAGCCTTGAAAGCCCGATGGAGCAGTTCTGCACACGTGGGGTCATCATGAGTCAGAATCGACTCAGTGGCAACTAACAACAACATGCATCTGAATAATGGGGTTTATAAGCATTATTATTTCACTCTCAAAGGAACTACAAGTGTAAGAAATGCAATGTGTGTGATAGTGCAACTTGAATGTGAAAGGTAAAAGTGAAGCTTTTTGTTGTTATACTAATCTGCATAACTTCCCTGTATGTCTAAACTATGAGGAATAGGAATGTGTGGCATCCATAAAGAATAAAACCTCTAATGCAATAACAAAACGTTTTAAGTATGTTATATAACTGGATATTTTTAAAAGGGTGCCTAAAAAATGTGTCTTGTAGAAACAAAAATCTACTAAGTTTTATTTATCATTTTTCTGATATGCATCACTTTAAATAGAAAATCTCAAGAGCTGGCAAGTCTAACTTTATCTGTTTGCTAACATTTAATGACCTGCTGTTGTATGAAAACTACCCTATATGGACTGTAACTGAATGGTTACCTGGTAACTGAAGTAAGTACTTGTAGGGTTCTAGAAGAATTCTTTGGGCTATTTCTTGATCCTTCTCCATTGTTTTTAAATTACAAAGCTGATCTGTTGAAAGAAGAAACATAAAGAAGGTATGATGAACCAAATTATCTTTAAGAGTCAATCTATGAAGCAATTTGTCTCTCAAAGTGTTTCTGGAAAGGAAGAACATCAGTTTGGTTTTAAAAGAAAATTCAGTAAAGAAAATGGATAAACCTTGAAAACATTACCCTAAATGAAAGAAGCCACTTACAAAGGACCACGTATTGTATGATTTCATGTATACGAAATGTTCAGAATAGATAACTCTATAAAGACAGAAAGTTTAGTGGTTGGCTAGGGTGGGTAAGGGAGAAGGAAGGAGTGATTGCTAGTTGGTTTTTTTTTTTTTTTTAACTTGTAAAATATACGTAACATTTACCACTTTAACTATTTTTGAGTGTACAATTCAGTGTGTTAAGTACATTCACACAGTAACCATCACTACTATTTCCAGATCTTTTTTTATCTTCCCAAAGAGAAACTCTATACTCTTTAAAACAATAACTCCTAATTTCTGTCTCTATAAATTTGCCTATTCTAGGTTCCTCATATAGGTGGAATCATACAATATTTGTCCTTCTGTGTCTGGCTTATTGTACTTAGCATAATGCCTCCAAGGTTCATCCATGTTGTAGCATGTAACAGAAGTTCATTCCTTTTTATGGCTGCGTAATATTCCATTGTATGTATGTACTACATTTTCTTCATCCATTCATCTGTTGATGGACACTTGGGTTGTTTCCACATTTTGGCTACTGTGAATAATGCTGCTATGAACACTGGCATACAAATATCTGTTTGAGTTCCTGCTTTCAAGCCTGTTGGGTATATTCCTAAGAGCGGAATTGCTGGGTCTGAAGGTAATTCTGTGTTTAAGTTTTTGAGGAATTGCCATACTGTTTTCCACAGTGGTTGCACCATTTTACTTTTCTACCAGCAACACACAAAGGTTTCAATTTCTCCACATACTCACAAAACTTATTTTCTCTTTTTTTTTGATGATAGCCATCCTAGTGAGTGTGAAGTGGTATGCGGTTTTGTTTGAGGAGGGGGAGGACCAAAATGTTCTAAAATTAAGATTGTAGTGACGGTTGTCAATATACTAATAACCATTGAGTTGTACACTTGAAATGGGTGAATTGCATGGTATGTAAATTATATCTCAAAAAAATTAAACCCTTCATTCAAGTGATTACATTGGTCTAAGTGTCTGACTGGTTTTTAAGTGGTTTCCTTAGTGAAACGGCTTATATTAAGCCTTTCCTATTTTAATGAACCATAGAAAGCTTACACTGTTGTCATCAAAGAAATGTAAAAAAAAAATCACAGAATTAGAAAGATACTTCTAATTATACATAAATTATATATACACTTTTTCCATGAGCATTAACATAGGTATGTTTTGTACATTTAAAATTTTAAGGGGAAGGGAATCTTGCATTTTCTCTACAATCAATCCATTTCAGATATTCTGGTTTACACATATATTAACTTGAATGTAATTTTTAAATATATTCTCCTGTAGTGCTACATTATTCTGTATTTTACATTTACGTATGTCAGTGTTTCCTAAAACATCACTTACAGTCTTCCTAGAGTCCTCCTTTACTGGTGAATTTCTACTATTTCTTGTAAATTATCTATTTCTCCTCATATTAGGATTCCTATTTTCTTATTGCTCTGACATCTTTGGCACATTTTAGGAGGTTTCTCACCTTTGCCCTTTTTCTTCTCCTTCTTGGGACTATGATTTGGTGTCTAGGATCACTAGTGTTCTCCTAACCAATTTTTTTAGTTTCACTACAGATGCAACAACACAAGACTAACTATCATATAGTATCTAATTGCAGTTCATGATTAGTGCTGTTCAAAGAGTTATACATCATGGAATTTTAGAACTGGAAGGCACCTTAGAGAGTTCTCTCAGTAAGCCGAAGGTAATAAAGCATACCGGTATATTTGCTTGAGTGACAGCCACTGTTTTTGAATAAAGGAAATGAAGTTGAGCTCATATACTTTGTGTTGTGGCCACTCGAAGGTCTTTTTATGATTCTCTAAGTCTGGGCAGGGGACTTCATTTTTAATATTTCGAATGGGGTGTAATACTAATGCAGATGCCTGAGAAATCATTAAGAGAGGAACTGGAGATGATTAGTAGGTTACTTCCATCATACCTTGGAGTCCCTGGCTGGTGCAAACAAGTAAACACTGGGCTACTAAAAGTTGGTGGTTCGAACCCCCCTAGAGGTACCTGGGAAGAAAGGCCTAGCAAGCTGCTTCTGAAAGGTCAAACCAAAAACCAAACCCACTGCTATCGAGTAGATTTCTACTCACAGTGACCCTATGGAACAAAGTAGAACTGCCCCATAGGGCCTTCCAAGGCTGGGAAGCAGACTGCCACATCTTTCTCCTGTGGAGTGGCTCGTGGGTTTCAACTGCTGACCTTCTGGTTGGCAGCTGAGAGCTTTAACCACTGCGCAACCAGGTCGCAACCATGAAAACCCTGTGGAGAGCAGTTCTACTCTGAAACACATAGGATCACCATAAGCTGGAACTGACCTGATGGCAATTGGTTCTGGCCCATCATATTTTAACATGCTCGGCTGCTAACCAAAAGGTTGGAGGTTTGAATTCACCCAGAGGTGCCTCAGAAGAAAGGCTCTACTGCTGAAAAATCAGCCACTGAAAACCATACAAAGCACAGTTCTACTGTGTCACATATGGGGTCACCATGGGTTGGACTTGACTTAATGACAACTGGTTTTTCCATCATACCACCATACAACCAAAGGCAGCATGGTGGTATTTTTCATTTGCTGTAAAAGACTCAGGATGTGTTCTTCAATTTCCAAAGTTGTCTTAGTAACTTCATAAAGTTTAGTACTAAAACCCATGTTTTATAGCCCAGTTATCTCAGACTATGACCTCATCATTTACACTCTCTGAGACAAGGCAATTCTAGTTTTGTTTCTCCTTCCTGGCATTCAATTAGAAAATGAAAAAAATACTTAGGATGGCAGAACTCATCTGATGCCAAAGTACAAGTTTCTGCACCTGTTTCAGTACATGAACATACTGGTTCATATTCATGCTGGTAAGCAAATCTGAAAATCTTGAAGTAAACATTGACAAAGTGACCACAAAAGTAAAAGAATTTCCAAAATCTCATTATTAGTGCTGATATTTCACCTTACCAGCACGTTGTTAGGTGCCATCGAGTCAGTTCCGACTCATAGCGACCCCATGTACAACAGAACAAAACATTGCCCGGTCCTGCGACATTCTCACAACTGTTGCTATGTTTGAGCCCATTGTTGTAGCCACTGTGTCCATCTATCTTCAGGGTCTTCCTCTTTTTCGCTGACCCTCTACTTTACCAAGCATGATGTCCTTCTCCAGGACTGGTCCCTCCTTATAACATGTCCAAAGTTCGTAAGACGAAGTCTTGCCACCCTCACTTCTATGGAGCATTCTGGCTGTACTTCTTCCAAGACAGATTTGTTCATTCTTCTGGCAATCCATGGTATACTCAAAATTCTTTGCCAACACCATAATTCAAAGGCATCAATTCTTCTTTGGTCTTCCTTAAGGACCACCTTAAGTAGTGAAAATCAGGTACTTAATGTACTCTGTTTCTTGGTAGGCAACTAATATAAGGGCAAAATGGTTGAACCACATTCTATATCACGTACTTATTTTTCTGCAGTGGAATGAGATGTGTAACATGGCAACAGGAGAAAAGAATAAAATACATTATGCAGTATTAGGCACATGGAAAGCACATGTAGAAGGCTGGTTAATAACACGCATAGATCATCATCAACTGTACAAGTGCTTTCATGCTTCCATGCAGTGTAAAGCATTCATGGGTCACAGAAACATTGAGAATCTGATGAAAGCTCTGAATTTTTCTTCTCAAAAAAAGAAAAACCAACCAACCAACTTGCATATATGCGATTATGCTCACATACAGATATATGCACACCCACAAAACTCTACATATACTTTTTCCGGGACCATGTAGCGCCCTGAATCCTTTATATGTACCTCTGATGAATATCTCCAGCTATAGGGTATCTTTACCCTTTAATGCTAAACAAATATGCATGTTTGCATTAACAATAGGGCTGACATAAATTACACTGGTTTAAATCTTTATTGAAGGCAGACTACAAATGGAAATTAAAACAAGAAAATAGTATGTAGTTCAGGTTACTCTTCAGGATTTAAAAGTGTATTTTGGGGTCTATCTTTGATGATCATCTATGTGAAACAAACAAAACAAACAAAAAGCTGCACTTCACCAGGAAATCATTTTGCAATCTGAATTTAAAGAGAAAAATTCCATATAGAAAAGTTCTGTATCTCCCTGACTAGCCATTAATACTAAGTATGTCAGAAGGGGAAAATGCTCTGAAAATACTTTGAAATGATCCAAATACCAATTTAGTAACTTACCACCTATACTGTCTGACAGCTATCTCTGGCTTTGACACAGGTTATCTCATTGTTAGAGATTACAGAAATATGCAAATTCTTCCTAAACAGGAAGAATAATCACTTAGGTACAAGACTACTGAACAGAATTAAAGTAGAATTTAAAAAGCATCTCTCATATATTTCTCTATTTAAACCAGTTAGTAACCATCTCTTCCCAACTAGGTTGAGAGCAAAAATCATGTCTGTATCTTCTTCACAGCCTCCAAAAACTTAAAAATCAATGAAACCAAATTTCAAGAATTCTTTTTTGCTTCTGTCTGGATCAGTAACAGTTGGAATGTTATTGATCCAGAAATCAGAGGTAACCTTTGTTTCAATTCTTAGTGCTTTGGTTGATGCTATTTCTCAATTTAAAATACTAGTTATACATTAAAAAAACAAGTATTCTTTGCTTATTCAGAAAAATGTACGAATATTCAACAAATAAGACAATCAATCTTTCTTTCCCAGAAGGTTGTTTATACACAATTACAGTCAGCAGTGGGAAAACACAGGAACCTCAATTTTTTTTTTTTTTAATATTTTATTGTACTTCAGGTGAAGGCTTACAGAACAAATAGTTTCTCATGAAACAGTAGTACACATGTTGTTTTATGA